GTGGGGGCGGAGACAGCCGTAACAAAAGGCCAGGCTGGCAGTGCGGCGGAAGAGTCAGCTGTCAGAGCTCTCCTCCCCGCACTGCTCGCTTAGCCTCCTGTGACATTAAGTATGGATGGAGAGCAGGTACAAGCACTCCTCAACGATCAGTGATCGCTGAGTGTTTGTAAATAATTGCGGACATAGTATGTTTACTGTGTCCCCAATTATGAATGGATGGGAAGTGATCTACATCACTTCCTGTTCATTCATGGTTGTGGACATGGTAAACATACTATCTCTACAAGTTATGAATGAACAGGAACACTCAGTATAGAGGCTTCCTGTTCATTTATAACGGGGGATGCAGAAAAAGATGTTGAGGACTCTGTGTTCTCAATCTCTTTTTCTATTTTAAAAGGGAGATATCAGGGGTCTGTTTAGACCCCCAATATTTCCCCAGAGCCCCCGGCAGTAAAGTAAAAAAATGCAATTTAATAAAATTAAAGTATATTAAAAAATTAAAAAGTTTATAAAAAATAAAAATACAATATTTAAAAAAATTTGAAAAGGTTAGACATTTATTTTTTTTTTGGTTTCAAAATGTTCATTTCTGTGCACCTCCAGTATATAGTATATACATCAGCCATGCCTAAAATAATACCAATCAATCTTTACTGTTTCACTATATTAAAAACCTTACTAAAAACATAAATCTAATAAAACAGAAACCAAAGATCAAGACAAGATTTTAATTATATACGAACTACAAGTTGTGTACTTGCTAAAACATGGAATAGAGGTGTGGGGGGATAGAGGTAGAAGGGGGAATGCATTGGATGTGACAGGTTCTCTTTAAGGTGACATTAGGGGTCTTTTAGACCTCCAGTGTCACCTTTCCACTTCACTGGATTCAATGAATGTAAATACAGAAGGCAGTGGCTGGGAGCAAAAGCCAACCTGCTATTGGTTATTTTAAATTGCAATAGCAGGCTGGCTATTGTACCCGCCCACTGCCAATCAGCAAAGGAGGGAACTGAAGATAAAGTTCTCTATCAGGTCCTCCCTGCTGATTGACAGCAGGCAATGGGTGGGTACAATAGCCAGCCTGATATTGCAATTTTAAATATCCAATAGCAGGCTGGCTATTGTTACAAGTGTCCATTCCTTTTCCACTTGATTAAACTGTTTGCTTTTGGTGATATATCTCAGTGTCAGTTGTCTGTGCTCCTTATGTGTTTAATAATGCCCTCACCAGAGGTTCACAGAGGTTTTCCCTCTCAATGAAAGAAGGCAAAGTCCATTCTGTGAGAAGGCAAGATTTACAGCTTCTCTCCTCTTCTCCCCCGTGGACACACTGAACGGACATTCGCTTCTTTCAATGAGAGTGAAAACTGCTGTGTACGTCGGGTGATTGCATTACACATAAGGGGCACGGACATCTCACACTTTGTGATATATCACCAAAAGCAAAAGAACTACCGTATGAGCTGAGTGCTTTTCACTCATCCTCATAGTTCTAGCCAACCTGTGACAATGAAGCTGTCACAGGTCGGCTCAGTAGATCGGGAAGTGAGCGAACACATACCGGCGGTCGCTCACTTCTCGATCCTATGCCTGCAGAGAGACATGACAAGGGAGGGACTGGATTCCCCCCTCCCCTGTCCGATCCTCCAGCGCTGACTGGAGGAACAGACGGGGGAGGGGGCGGGTATAGCTGGCTCTGCCTCTAGATAAGGGACCCCCAGAGAAGCGTGGCGCTGTTGGCGGTGGTGGTGTGGGGGGTTGTGGCGCTGTTTGGGGTTGTGGCGGTGCTGCCCCTCTGCTTCTTGCTTTGGTGATGCATCGAGGCATCAGCATCTTTTACATGCGTAGTTGAGGCCGGTAATTGATGCAGATTTATTTGATAGGCAGCAACTTGTTTACTGATAGCTTGTTGGTCTGTTTGGTGGATCCAAAAGCGATTGGGGCTTTGTCGCTGCGCATGTGGGGGATTCTGATGTTTCCATGCAGCGTTGGAGCAGGGAATGGAGGAGCAGCACTGTCAGGTGGGAACCCCTCTCACTGACAGTGCTGTACCTGCGTCATTGAGATCTTTAATCACCACAGTGGTGATGGAGATTTGGTGGAATCAATTTAATAGACTAACAAGCTGTGCAGCCCCTCTACTCCCTGCCGCCCTGAGGCCATGGCCACAGTGGCCTTGTAAAGAATACAGCCCTCTGAGCAGCATGGGTTTCTGGAGTATGTGATAAGGCAGCCTGTAGGTAGGTTATCCTGGGCTGTGATGAAGCAGCTTGTGTAGATAAATGATCCTGTGTCTGCATGTTGCCATAAGACAGCTATGTTAAGGCATCATGCAGCCTCTAAATATGGAGGGGTTAATTGCAGGCAGCCTGTGGTTATGGAGGGGTTAATTGCAGGCAGCCTGTGGTTATGGAGGGCATTCTCTGGTGTTGGAGGGGTTTAGGCAGACTGTGGTAATGGAGAGGGTAATGGCAGGCATTCTGTGGTGGAGGAGAGTGTAAGGAAGCCCGTGGTGATGGAGGGGTTAATAACAGGCAGCCTTGCTGTACGGACCTCGGGTGTAGCAGCTCCGGAGGAACGTGTAAGTGAGGAAGTCTCATCTCTAGGATGGGGGAGGGGAGAGCTTTTACAGACACACAGATGGACACACTCACCAGATAAGAAGATAAAGCTGCAAAGCGAAGCGCCCGTGGCCCGGTATCAGGCTCCCAGCTGACATGCCATGCTTTCCTGCATCTCCTTCGCTCTCCTGGCCGTGCTGTGGGAGGAGCTTCTGTGAGGTCCTAGTTCAGCTGCCCGTACAAGCACGGTACCTCGGGGCAGCCTGAAACTATTTTAAAAATTAAAGTGCCCGTATCGGCGCTATGTATCTGGGCATTTTCACAAGTACAAGTACTTGTGAAAATGCCCTGTATCGGCCCCGATGCTTGTGTCGGTATCGAGACATCCCTAGTCAGAATATATGTGCTTAGAATATAGAGGGTCGATTGAATCCACCAATTGTTATCCTAATGACAATCAGCTCTGCAGTGTCATTGATTTTAATCAGTTGACAGTAAGGTTTTGGCTGTATTTATCTCCATTTATTAGAATAAAGTATTTTCAATTTTTCAATTATTCCGGTTTGTCCCATTCTTTAGTTAACCCTTGGACTACCTACACTTGGGGGTCAGTCCGACCTTGGCTTCTTTTGTCTTTGCTATTTACCGGTTACTGATACGGTAGATAAAATGGTTTAAAGGGTAATCGCTAGAGCTTTGTATCTCCAGAAGTGAAACAATCCCTTTTCTGTTAGCTACTTTTCTTCCCCATGGTCCCAGTGTGAGTTGTAAAGTAGCCACCGCTACAAGCTCACTTCCCATGAAATATTACCATCTCAATACAAATCAGTAAACTAAATGTGAGATTGTAGTCCATCACGGGAGCGAGCTTGGCTACTTTACAACACACACAGGGACTATTGGGAACAAAAGTAGCTACTCTCTAAAAGGAAGTACAGTGTAAGCACGAATTCAGAGATGATTTAAGAATCTATAGCTGAGTGATACACAAAGATAGATGTTTGTTAATAGTTCAGGGACTTGACTGCATTTTTAAGATTTAACTCCCAAGTTTAGTGTCACTTTAAGTCACTATCTGGCCTCCGTCCGTTTTTTTCTCCTGTACGACACTATTGCTCAGACAACCCACATAACCCATTTACGGGCAGATAGTGGAGAGGTACAGGGAGGGTGGACCAGAGTTGGGGCTTCCACCTAGGAATTAATCTATTGTTTTATTCAATAAGGAAATCTGTTGAGAATGTTCATATACAGTACTGTGCAAACATTTTAGGCAGGTGGGAAAAAAAGCTGTAAAGTAAGAATGCTTTCAGAAATAAAAGTGTTAATAGTTTAGTTTAATCAATTAACAAAATGGAAAGTAAATGAACAGAAGAGAAATTCAAATCAACTAACCACAGATCTTTTGATCAGAGCCCTGATCTCAACATCATTGAGTCTGCCTGGGATGACATAAAGACCTATAAGAATTTGAGGCAGCCTATATCCACAGAAGATCTATGGTTATTTCTCCCACATGCTTGGAACAACCTACCTGCCGAGTTCCCTCAAAATCTGTGTGCAAGTGTACCATAAAGAATTGATGCTCTTTTGAAGGCAAATATTGATTTGATTCGGATTTCTCTTCTGTTCATTTACTTTCCATTTTGTTAATTGATAAAAATAAACTATTAACACTTTTATTTCCGAAAGCATGCTTACTTTACAGCATTTTTTTCCCACCTGCCAAAACCTTTTCACGGTACTATAAGTCTGAAATTTATGATGCCCAGATGATGGACATAAAATGTGGATATGTTGTGATTGTTAACTGCTTATATTTGTATTCCATAAATGTCCACCCTGTCCCTGAAGAAGTGATCTTGTTCACAAAACACGTTGGGCTCTTTTCCTGTGTCCTATACTTACACTGATATATGTGAAATGTAACAATATGATAGCATTATTTACACAATGGGGGTGAGGCTGTGGTGGAATAAGGAACTGAATATATAACTTTATTGATATTTTAATGCTTGGAATAAAATTATTCTTTGTAAAAAATGTTGAAAATGTATGTGTGCCTTTAAAGTCACAGAAATTGAAAAATTGCCTATATAGTGGGGGCGTGGCACCTATGTGACTAGTTTGACATTCGCCACACTTTTGTATTGAAAATTTTAAATTTAAAAACCTTTATGTAAGCACAGCTTGCCCTTAAGTATCGGTCACACTGACTTAATCAGGGAATCTACAAACAATTACCAGGCACAGTAAAAACAACAGATTGTCAGGTGAACATCACAGAGAAAATTCCTCACAGTGTGGTTTTAGTAGCCAGTAATTTTGCACAGTGTACTTTAAACTGCAGAAGATACTTTCCAAATTGTGAAATAAAAAGAAAAGTCAAATCATATACAGTGTACAACTAGGCTTAGCTAAATGTATAATTACCTGCATCCAACACAAAAAAAAACACAACACAAGAACTTTGCTACGTGGAATTCTCAGTAGCAGACTCCATTTTGGGAACAGGTCGTGCCTCCTTTAAACAAAGGTAAATTTCCTCCTGTGGATCATAATAATAAAACTTGCGCAGGTATGAGATGAGAGGCCTGGAAAAATAAAGGGAAAAATAGGATGCATTAGTGAAACTGTTTCATACCATTTCAATCTGTCCTAAGATCCACATTCCCACAAATTAAGGTCAGAGAAGACTAATCTATTCAAGATCATACTCCACTGTCACCAGTGCAATGAATAAGAAGAGTGTGGTGAAAGAACTTGTGGTACGCACATGTGGAAGGACCCAGAACAGACTCTGCAGATTTTCAAAAAGAACACATGTGGCACAGTGCAGACTAAAAAAAGGAAAATTTGAATGGAGTTAGGACAGGGAAATATACACTGAGTGGGCAGATTATTATGACCACCCCATCAGTACTTTGTTGGGCCATGAGATGACTCCACGAGATGACTTCGTTGGGCCGCCTCGTGACTCCACGAGATGTTGAAAGGTGATGCGAGGAATCTGACACTGCACTGTTGCCCTTAAGTTGTCTTGTACCAGTCTTGCCACTCTCCGTTCTGCCCTAACATTGATTAGTCGCTGACGGCCACAATTCGCACGTTCAGACCCAGATTTTCGGCTGACAGTCCAGTCTTTAACCCTTTCGCTATGAAGCCCTCCAGAACATTTTTCAAATCAGCTGGCGAAGCCATTTTTGCAATTTTTTCCTATTGATTTTCAACTGCTGGGTTGCTGGTGTTTGTAAAAGACCCCCCAAACCATATATTTTCTGAAAGCGCAGGCCCGGTAGAATATGGATAAAAAGATGGTGATACTAAATTTGAAGGCCCTGCGAAAATTGCGCAAATGTTTCTCAAATTAATATTAAACCGATAAAAATACACAATTCAATTGTTAAAACACACCAAAATCAGTATCCGTGCACAAAAAAAATATATTTTCTGACTAAATCTAAAAGATAAAACTGTATTGAGTTAATAAATAACAAATATTAGCAAATTTGTAATTGAGCCTTTTTGCGAAAAGGACTATCCCCGTTGCCACTGCCCCTACAAGCGGGGGACAGCAGCAGGGATCCATGGAGTCACAGATCCCTGCCTGGAGTGGCTGGAGGCAGGGATGAGAGGCTCCAGATGCCGGCAACTTTTCCCATTGATTTGATTTTCAACTGCTGCGTTGCTAGCGTTTGTAAAAGACCCCCCAAACCATATATTTTCTGAAAGCGCAGGCC